GAGAGAGAGATGGGGGGGAGATAAAGACAAGAGAGATAGATAGAGGAAGACGCGAGCGTGATGTCCTGCGTTTTGCGGTTGTACGTATCTCGATGCATCTCGATGCACCTGACCTGCGAAATACATTTCGCAGACCGCGGCGCGGCGAATATGTGTTGTATATAGTACTCGTGATGTGACAGCACACGAGCACATAGGGCTCGATACATAGGTCAATTAATCCGTAACCTCGGCCAATTCCGATATATTAAATTTAAGTCGATTAGTCCTTTCGGGATGGACGAGCTATCAAGAGCGCCGTCCCTTACGGTCTTACCGCCGTAAAAAAAAAATCTAAAGCTAAGCGGACAAATTAAATTTGTCGGCCTTTTAACACACGGGCCATTAAGGGTCTCGGCGGTTTTAAATTAAAGCCTCTCTGTCGCAGTCCGAAAAATTGAGCTAATGTCAATGAATTAAATGCTAAAAGCCATGGCGCATAAATTAAAACATCCTTCTCTCCGGGATCGAAAATTGTGCCCTAAATAACGGAAACGAAACGAGTGGATACATGAAGAAAATGCAAAATGACGCCGGTTGCAGTTGCTAGGAGTTGTAATAATTCATCAGGCTAGCATCGCAGTGACATAACTGCATCCAGACCGTTAATCTATCGTAGGAAAATGAGGGAGGGGGAGGGAGGGGGAGGATCGGAGCACGAATGAGGAGAGACGGGCGGAAAATGTTTTTCCAACGCTTGCACGATAAACTCGTTTTAATTAACGAGCGGATCCGCGTTAAAATACGACGTATTAAAGCGCATTATTTATGGAAGACGAAGTGCAGCGGCAGAGAAATAAATGTAACAACGTCCGGAGTCCTGAGGAAAGTTCCTAAATCCTACTTTGCAGATTTCTCAACCGTCATTCTCAAAATGTAAGTAAGATCCTAACTTTTGCGGACATTAAATCCCCGGACAAGGACGCATCTTTCACGGGAAAATAAATTAATTAAAAATGAAAAGTCTCTTTTCGAGAAAAGCTTCTAGACTGCTTGGGTAAATAAATCCACTGTATTTCAAAACTGTATTTCAAAAATATCGATGTAAATTTTAATTGCGCAAATATTTCGAAGAGCGATCTACTTTCAGATTAAAATAATAACTTGTAATAATTACTAGTCATTACTTAAATAATTAATTAATAATTAATTGAAAATCGCAAAAAGCAATTTTATTTTATTTCAATAAAAATCGTAAGTATTTAAAATGTTATAATAAGATATTAACGAGAAGTGCTTGTTCGCTCATCGTATATCTTTCGGTATATCTTTCCGATAATTTCTTCTCGATTTCATTCGCTAGCCTGGTTTTTCGAAAATGTTTT